GCATAACCCTAAACCCTAAACACATAAACTTATACATATTTTGATTCTATGGGCTTTCGCAGAAAAATCCTTTTCTGGCAGGGCGAGGCTCCCACAGTACCATCTTGGGTCTACTAAGAGGCGTCAAAGCCCCTTATATAGTCAAGGAATCATAGTAGGGACTCTGATATGTTTTCAAGCATTCCTTAACTAAGGGTATTGAAGTTCCCTGGCCCACTTTCAACTCTTCGCCTCTCTGCGCCTGCTCGACACCTGCAAAGAGCCGAAACCTCTTTGTTTTCAGGCCCTAACACAGTCCTAAACCCTCAAAGCCATACGCCACCCCTAAACTCCTGAAGCCTAAGTCCTATGAGGCAGCTTAGCACCTGGCGATGGGTGCCAAATGATCTCTGAGTGAGAGTTCGCCTCGGCGAGCCGCACGAGTCAGTGCCCAGCGTTCGAGTCAATCGCGACATTTGTGCCGAGCTGTCTTGGTAAGTTCTCCCATGTCTCCTATACATCGCGAAGGTAGCCGTAGCTGCATGTAGATGCATGTAATAATGCACTGTGCATGTATAAGTCTACAAGAGATGAGTACATGGGTAAAATACTTGCAAGGTATTGCGTGTGTGCATGTGTGCATACATGAAGTGTTTGTGGGCCTGTCCTGTGCTGGGTCATCTTCTTGAGGTATGCATGTGGCGCACCTTCCCGACTGTCCGAGGGTCCGACTTTCTGTCAGCAGGAACCTCTCAGCGTAAAGGCACACGCTAATCCCTCAACGCTCTGCCCCTATAGGTCCTGGGTGATAGCCCTAAGCCCTGAAGATGGCCTCAATGCATCTGATCTCGCCAGAATTGTGCCCTACGTCACACTTGATCTGCGCAGGACATCATCATGATCATCATCGTCATCATGATCATCATGATCATCACCACCATAATCGCAACATGATTTGTAATCGTGCTCCACATGTTGCTCTTCATTTGATTGCATGTGTGAATGGAGGTGTGCCCCCAAAAACAAGTGTTCACCAGATCCGGAAGTCGGAACGTCCCAGCCTCACGAGGAATCTCCCCAGATCCGGGACCACGGTCTTGAGATTCTCGGACTTAGAAATCGGAAAGCCGAATTTGCAATGTATGGGGCCGAAATTCAATTGAATTGGGCCTTGGGCAATTCTATACCTTATACTTCTACAGTGAAACCCGACGAAACAAAATTGCTAAGCACGCAGGCCCGCACGTTTAAGCAAGTTCCTGTGGCATGGGCTGGCGCGGCATCAATCCGCTCCAAAAACTCGCGCACAGTGGCCTCGGAAGAAACTTAGGATTCCAGCATGAGGGGCTGACAGGCCCAGTCCGCATTCAAGGCGGCTGGCATTTTCAGGATTTAGGGTACAGGGGTCCTGCATTTTAGGAGTCCTGGGCTTGAAGAGCCCAAACTCTGCTTTATGCTTTAAGCCCTGCAGCCCTACGGTGTTACGATTCCTGCTCTCACCTGGGAAGCCTTCAAGACGATGAAATGAAAAGATTAACGTGATCAAGTGGACTTCATCCAGGGAGCTTTTTTTGCGTGTTTCACAGACGGACTTCATTCTGGCAGGGTATGCCATGTCCTGCTTTCCGTTTACACTTTGTGTCCTGGGGCTTACGATCCAGACGTTAAACAAAGAAATCACATCAAGACCAAGAGCAAGACTCCTTTTTCCGTCAAAGCCCTCTGCAGTGACCCACTTAAACCCTAAACCCTAAACCCACAAGCCAGTTCCGCCGAGGCTTGCAGTTTTGAGGCTTTCTTTCAGGGCCTCGCATGGGCCTCTCTTCACCAATCTCTGCATTGGGCTATGACTGTAAAGTTCTGGGCCCTAAACCACCCTATAGTTTAGGGTTTAGGGTTTAGGGCATTTAGGGTTTAGGGTATTTAGGGTTTAGGGTATTTAGGGTTTAGGGTATTTAGGGTTTAGGGTATTTAGGGTTTAGGGTATTTACGGTTTAGGGT